GGCCTATACAATGACTTGCGGTGGCCAGCCGATGTACAAGTCAGTGCTTTTATCCTCCCAGACGAGTCTGGTACCAATTAACCTACCCCGGAGAGATGGAAGGCTTGGTTAGCCTAGACAGGTATCGATCCGGGATTCGAACCCCGGACCGTGTGAGATAGTGCGCCACTTGCCACTACACCACCTCTGCCCATGATTGGTTATGAAAAAGAAAAACCTGCATATGCCAGGAGATGGTTTTTCTTTGTGGTAGAGCTCTATACAGCAGTTGTGCCAGTACTTCGGTAGTATAATGTCTTTATTCAAACGGCATCTTAAGCAACGGAAACTTGATGCTTGCGATGAATTAATAATTGAATTAGTCTTAGTGAGGCCCGCCTCCTACTTTTCCTCCTGAGGTAAGTGTGTTTCCAGTAATATAACAGAAAAATTCATAAAGTGATGCCTCCACAGGGTAGACGAAGTACATCCGCGAAGTATGCGCAAAGCTCTCAACTTCGACTTTGATTTTGACTCAAAACATTTGAAGCTTAGCTTTCCCTATTCTCCTTTAGATTTTAGCTAGGTTTCATCTTCCTCAAGGAATGCCTTGGAAGTTGTTAGATCCAAAACCGATGAGAGTCTGATTGATCAAATTGAATCCAAATTTAGGTTTCTACCCATATATTTCATGGTGACAATGCTTGTCGCCCCACGTCCCATGATAAATTCGTTTTCTCTCCCTCCCTCACCAATTTATAGATGGAAGTTGTTTTTTTAAATGACCCTTCAATCTTCAAACTTCGATGATTGCTTGCATTTATCGACATTTGACTGGTTTACTTCTGAAGTCTTCTACAAAATGTACATAGGTATTTGTTTACAGAAAGCACAGAAGAATGCAGTTCGGGAACGTACTTCCTCGTGCCGGTCAAGTCCGATTTTCCCGAAGCGGATCGAAAATTGTTGTTTTCTTTGGATCCTGGCATAATGCCAATGGTCAGCACCTTCACTGACTTGCATAGGCTACAAGGCTACTGTAATACCGAAATTTCTAGAACAAAGACGTACCGAGTAAGTCGTATGTACGGCTGCAGCACGAGGCCACGAACACATGGGTACATGCGACAAGTGCCACCGAAAAACAGAACCTGTACTATAGTAGGTACGGTAATGGATATTTGACAGTGGATGCTGGGAATCATAGAGCTATTACAGTAAGAATGAGAAGGGTTGGGTACGTGTGATCTGTGAAAACAATCGGGTTGACAAAGAGACGTTTGCATTACTACCAGTTCATCCGAATGAGGTTCGCCATCAAACTTATTCCATCCAGTTTAAAGTAACTCGAAAGGTTTTACCCGTTCAGGTTCGCGACTTGGACTTTGCAAACGATGCCTGTAGAGCTTTACGGAACTTCATAAGACATATCAAGAGTGGCGATCCTGTCACTAAGGAATCCATCAAGTAAGAAGGCTACTTATGTTTCATATCCGGTTTCATTTTATTGCATTGATACTTATTTGTTACTTTTGTTTGTCATAGATTACGTTCTGTTTTGTTTTCTGTTGATCATATTTTTGTTTCTAATTTTATATTATTCCAAAATCAGAAACAAAAGTGCGATCAACAGAAACAAAACGGTGTTTTTCTTGATGTTACTTTCGATGCCTCTCTCCATTTTATGACCGCTTACCCTTGTATCACCAAGAGATAAGCATGAGCCGGGCAATACTTTTAGCGACCGTATTTCGAGCTGCTAATGAATACTCGCGTTTATTCGTTACCTACATCTGTCGAACACCTCAATCCTTCCCACGTGATGCTTTATAGAAATGCTGTCTTTTGATCGGTTTTCCAGTCCTATTTGAGCTAGGTAAAAACGATGGATTTTCCTTCCTTTTTGGAAGCATGTCCGCACCTTAACCGATTTTCCTTAGAATTCCAAATAAAATTACTAATTTTTTTCAAATTTTATTTATCACTTGATCAATGACCTACTCCTTCTCGAGTTTTCCTTTCCAGCGTCACGATTCAACTGCTTACGGAATGCATTTACTTTGTTACAAATACCAAAAACCATATGATGGATCCATTGCAAATAAGCGATTTCACTCCGTCCAGGGATCGGCAGAAACTGCTCCGAGAGCAAGAAGTTCTCGATCAGGTGTGTCTCTATACGAGTCTTCAATTTGGGAGATGACAGCTAAACGTCATGATCAAAAGCTGGGTTTAAAACATTTTTTTCTGCAAAACATCCTGCTCCGAATTACCATCTTGATAATCGGCCCGTTGTGTTCCGAGGTCCTTGAGGGAAAATTATTATAGACTTTCACGGCCTCATGGTTTGCTGTCTCAAGTGTCTCTGATACTGAAAAGCCCCAATTATTTAGGTGTTTCAACTTTTGAAAGCGCCTTTCATGCCTCGACAAGGACTTACCGAAATCGGTCCCCTGTTAAGTTCTCCGTCAGAGCTTGGCGAAACACGGAATGAGGTCTTCAAGACGATGTTCCAGCTGTGCTACAGTCTGTTGAGGTATGGATGTTACTAGTGAAATGACGAAAACTACAAATATGGTTTCTCCTGCACACTTCGCGAAGGTCACAACCTGGTTTCAGATATTCACAAGTTAGTTATCGGAAAAATCAAGAGTTTTTGGCCGAGAAGTTTGGACAAATTCAGGTGAGCCCCTTATTTGACCTGGTAAAGCCCTACCCGCCCATCTACCTATGCACCACCTGTAAGATCCGGGAAACTTCAGGAGCAAATCGGTTTCGATCTGTTGGCCGAAGATACGATGACTGCTGTTCTGCATAACAATCCGAAACTGCTAGAGAAATATGTGAAAACGCCACACGTCGAACGATTCGTCGAACTTGTACGGAATAATCGATTAGGAAAGTAAGTCTTCGTTACTCTAGCTTCGATAACTTCATACCTTTCCTGATTTACAAACAACTTTTTTATTTTCCCTACAGGGACTTCAGCATATTGGAAGGCATGCGGTAAATTTTTGAAATCGTTACGGTAAGCAAGTATTGTGCTGTGGTTGTGATGTGGTGAACTAAACATGGTCTACTAAGGTTTATCATGTCAAGGATCGAAACCTGATAGGCAAATATAGCCAATGAAACCCTTCAAAAGTCTTTCACTAAACGATAGGGTTCTTGGTGCAATATGACTACCAAGATTGCTTGATCAAAAAGTCGTTACTCTCTTGGATCCGAATTCGTGGTCCCGATTTTCGAGCATCGACTGTCGCCATTTTGACAGTAGTATTCAAAGTTATCAGGCAGACAGAAATAGAGTTTTGATACTCCCACACAAACTCTGCTTCCTTTCTGGCACTGGCCACACCCGCTGTTTTTATAGGACCACAGAAAAGCAATCAAAATCTGAGACTAGGACTGATTACCATGAGCGACATACTCATTTCTGTCGCTCCTGAAGTAAACCTGATAGGCTGCTTACCCAATAGGTGACCTTGGCCTATAGTAAATAGTCCCTGCCTATCACCTAAATGAAATCCAGCGCTATCCAGGGTGGAATTAACTGTTTTGACAACGCTCCCTAAGGGTGAGCTAGATTCATAGGGGACCAGGCTCGGTTCAGCATGTTACCGTGCAGATAAGCTTCTGTCGACACAAAGAAAAGTCATCCATATTCTGTTACTGTACTCACTTTCCTGCCATTTTAGGTTCCTCGACTACTTGGCAGATCTGTGCGTATGTCGTGGTGAGGCAAATAAAAAAGTTCAAGAGCTAATTTGTAATTCAGTACTGAGCGAGAAACATCGTGATATACTGATGGAGACGAAATTGGTCAGTTTGACACCGTTGATTAACGTATTTTTTGGATCCTTGGGATTTTCTGGATTCTTGGGATCCTGTAGAATAACGATTCTGAGAAATACAATACAGAATGGTGCCAGAAAGTCGATAAATACCAGCTTGAACTGTGATTATTAAGATTGACGATGAAGTTCACATTGGCTGGATGGGTCAGCCATTGCGAAAACTGGTCGATCTAGCTTATAGCTCAAGAAAAAACCCAAGTGATGCCGAGTTTTTGGATTACTACAGGTAATTTGAGTACGAATCGAAAAGATATTACTTCTATAGCATTAACCAACCTGTTTTTGTGGATCTAGACTGCGAGAATTAAGTTTTTGCAATTCCCTGAGCACCTTTGTGAAGAGAAACCTTCTGAAAGATCGGATTTTCAGGCACCAACTGGACCTATTGGCACAAATGTGTCAGGAGCAACAGTACTTGGCCATAGATCCGCCTCCGGAACGGAAACTTTTGAACATTTCTCAACAGTTACCGGCAGACTTAGTTTTGAGGTACAACCGATAGACAGTGCTATAACGATTTCGTCACAGGACCCACTCTGTTCAGATGTATGTCGGATTCACGACTCCCTTGTGAAGTGCGTGCATCATTTGCTCGCCTCATGCTACACTTACATGTAGTCCGTGGAAGTCCGTTGAGTGCTATCCGCCATGCTCGGTTATGGACAGACATAACCAACGAGGTCAAAGTTCAATCGTGAGTCAATCGATATTTTCGGAAAAAAAAGTGGAGATTCTCGCACAATTAAGAAGTTCAGGTACAAAACAACTTCTGTCGAGGGTTACAGTGATGGTGGTCGAGCTCGAGTGGGGGACCAGTTTGCTACTGATGTAAGTTTTGAAGCTTTTAGCAGCCTGATAGGTTGTGTAAACTTATTTCTGTGTGAAGCACTAGCCGACGCGCGCGGTCGCGGTGCGTGCGCTCTACCTACGCGACATTCTTCAAACTTTCCTTTCCTTTCAAATGAGAAATCTGGGGAATGCACGGTTACATTTGCACTGTGGAAATTCGAAAAAAAATAAGGACAAAATAAAAACGTATGCGGCGCGACTGCTCGTGGATGCATGATCTCTCCACGACTTTATGAAACATTCTTTTGACCAAGGTAGTTTTATTTGAAGGTGCTTAACACAGTCGAAGATTACCTCAATTCATTACGAGACAGCTATCCATCCGGTCCAGTGTTGCATAAAGACGCTGCAAGTGTAGCTCATAATAAGCTTACATTCGAGGTAGGTCGTGAGATGGCGGTAATGTGTGAGATTAAATTCCTCGGGTAGTCTATCTAGCCTAAGCTTCCAGATGGTAACACTAGCGAAAGCACTTGCTCAATTTGGCTACTACACCTTTGACAATTTGTTGACGCTCACGGAAAACCTCTTGCACATCGTCGACAACAGCCCTCATAGTGCTCAGACAGGTGGGTTTCTAGATTCTGTCGAGGCCTCAGAAGAAGGTCGAGAGTAGAGAAGTAGTCCTGACTCGACTACCTCTAGGGATTCTCATCCCACCTATTCAACCCTTCTGATGGAGACAGCCAACCCACCTAACCTACGGCCTTTATAGCTCGTACTGTATCGCATGGTATGACAATGATCCATCGAGTTACCCAGTCAATGATTGGTACTGGGACGAGGAAGATCGGTGACAGTGTGATGAAGGCGTCTGATAAGGTCAATATCGAAGACACGGCCAAAGCCAAGGAGAGTCGTCAGCTTCTGGTCAAAACAAAGCTCACAGTGGCTGAGATCCTTCAGGTGACTACACTGACTTCTAAGGTTGTGGACAAAATGGTTGTCCGCTCGATACAGTCCTGTAACGAGGAAGTGACCCTCCTTTTCCTCGATTCCTTACCCCGATGCCGATAGAAAACTGTTTCGTTTATAGTTTGTGATGGACGTGCGGCGAGACTACCGTATCACGATGGCATTGTCATGGTTCAAGCTCAATTTCCCGTGCGATGAGGACGGTGTGCTGAATCATACAGCAAGTACGTAAGTTCAAGGAATCGTGGGAAACTCCGCCCAATCAGTATCTCCTTCAAACAGCTATTCATTTTTTAACCCCATTTGTTCGTATAAAATGTATATATTACGATTATGTAGAGCTTGTTTCTACAGACATCAATGAACGTATGGCTCATGAGCTTTATGAGGCCATCTACCAGTCATCTGGTCATGAACTTCATTTGGATGGCGGCGATGGTCAGCTGCTGTTAGCGATTCTTATGCAGGTACCGATTTAGATGCTGGCAATGTGCCAATGCTCGCTTTTCCCAAGTTTCTCAACGATTTGGGGAGTTAGCGCTGAAGCGAGCTTGGAGAAACTCCACGAACTGTTCAGTTTTTACAATAAGCAGAATTCCATTTTCGGAAAGCCATCCTTTGGATCCCCCTTTTTTTGACGTTTCTCGGTTCCATTCCTTGCTAGAACTGATTGGCAATAGTGATTGGTTTATGAGCTCCATATGTCACGCGTAGGTTATCGGAAGAATTTTTGATGAAAAGAGAATTTTGAGATGTCGCTGAAGTCCCCTGAAAGGCATTTCTCGCCAACGCTATTTTAGTACTCGCCGTAGGCTTACGCTCACGTGAGAGACGAAGCAGAGCGAAACCCACTAATTTTTACAGATGACGATGTCCGATTATCCACCCTTGACAAGCATCGCCCTGAAGGTACTCTTCCGGCATTTCACTCAATATCAGGAGCTGCTCGAAGACTTGAAACAGGTTTCATTGTCTTTCCTTTTTCTTCTCAAGATTTTGTTCATGATTTCCAAATTCAGGCACAAACTGATTCGGTAATATTACACTTATGAATACTCGTCAGTGTCCCAAGTCATAGGTATCTGTGGCTTACCCACCAGTATCTTGTTTAGGTTCAACTGTTGGTATCGTCGGACGATGTGGAAAACTACCGACAGGTCGATCGTGACCTTTTCATTCTAAAGAATCTTACCGAGAAATCCGAGTTATGGGTTCATGGAGATCGACATCATTCCATTGATGCGAAGGATCAGGAGCATGATAAAACGTGAGCTTCAATAGTCATAAATCTGTTTTGCGTTCATGGCATGTAGCATCTTACCCAAGGCTAAAATTCACTATACCGCTACTCTAAGAACGCTCACGAACAGCTTTCGAAGAGCTTTTTGTATCGCCACTATCAAGAACTTTGCGCAGTGAGCTGATCTTTCACACTCTGTTTGGCCTCGTTCAGAGTTTGCGGCGGGCGGGCGACTTGGCGATTCAGTTATTGAGCGACAGCGACCTAAACGCGTTTCAGTCAGCTCTTCTGCGGCTGGAGCGCACATTTTCGATATTTTGGCTAGCAATTCAGCGCATAGTAATAAAATGTAAAAACATGCCGAACAGACAAATTAGTTGATGGGTTTATACTACGCCGTTAACTCTGAACTCAATATTGCTCAGCTAAAACAGCGCTGAAGAACAAACTTACTGGCTTTAATCCATCCAGACTATACTTTGTAGCTGTACTATTTTAGTATTTATCTGCTTTATAACAAGTTATCCTGTGTGCGTTTGTTTTAGTGGGCGTAAAATGGAAAGAATTCTGAGCTTCATCCATCATGTACATGAGTGGCGGGATAAAGCAAGCGATTGGTTAAGGTTTTGATCTTTGATGTAGTCGTGATTTCATATTTCGCATGCAAAGCATCAAGTCGAGTAACATACCCGATTAGCTCCCTCAAAATGTACCTTTGGACCTGAATCCAAAGGCAAACCAACAATTTGGGCTGGTGAGAGAGCTAATCGGGTTGTGGAACTCGACTTTTGTCGTCCTTCACTTTGTTACTCCTCGAAGATTGTCTATAAGTTGCTGGAATGCCTGCATTTGGTTACGGGTTTACGATTGGGTCTTCCTAGTGATATTAAAACATTTCAGAACGAAGATGGATTTTGAGGAGCACTCCCTGATCACTTCGAAAGGTTTTGCTACCGATGAGATTCTAAAGGCGGTCGTCGACATCATTGATGAGCACTACATGGGCTCTCGGAAAGACTGCCTTCGATTGTTGAATCAGGTAAATTATGAAATAAAATAACGCAAACCGTGATTGCGCGATGACGAGCCACCATCACCATGGTGTACATTGCCGTGACATACACTAGGTAAATCAAGCAAAGTTCTAGAAGGTGGAGTGATTGAAGTGATCCAATAAGAGAGTTCAAATATGAAGTCTCGGAAGTATTTTCCCCGTCTTTTATGGTTCCCTAGAATGATTGTGTATGTCACGGCAATGTATCCGACGGCGACAGGAACCACAGGCGGATCTATCGCCCAGTAAATCCCTTATTTTCGCTCTATGTGATATTACTTGTTCTAAATTTTGTCTCCAAGAAATGGATACAGCCATCAATCAATACGTATTTAAGCTACTGATAAGCGAAGACCGTAACCTAGCTGCTATCGCTCTACAAGAGCTTAGCGATCGCACGCCTCTGATTGCATATCCTCTTATAAGACAGGTATGCTAAAGGTTTTAAACTTGAACTGAGTTAATTTCGAAGATGTAGCCACCATTTCAGATTTTGGTACGACTGAAGAAGCTCTGCTACAAAAAGGATCGTCCGGATAGTATGAATCAGCAGTTACTGAAGAACATGAGAGTCTACGAAGTGGTGCTAGAATTCTTGAGTATTCCGTACGACAAGGTATCGTTCACTTTGAATGACACTTTACGCGAAAGACTAAGTTTGAGGAATTGAAAACTCCCGTCGAGAAGCTTCTTTTTGTTAATGGTTTCTAGAGGTACCAATAAACTATTCTCCAAGCTGATGTTTTCCTCTGTGGGCGGGGCTATCTTAGAGGGCGGCGTTTACCACGCCAACTATCCGACTCTTATCATCGTTGAGCATTCACTCTTAGGGTGCCAATATCTTTTTTTCTAATTCGGTACTTGCTATTTCTGTCTCCTTGAGCGCTGTCCTCGTAGAATTGTACTGTTTATAGTGGCGTTTATAATCCTCTTTATGGTTATTTATTCAGAAAAACGATTTCGAGATGCCGCGTTTGATTACGCTATCACACGAGTTTCTTCGTAGTTTCTGTAAAGGGAACAAAGAGAATCAGAGTCGTCTGCACAAATTCATCAGCATCGAAAAGGACGCCAAGGAGGGAACGCTGAAAGTGGAAACGGTAGGTGAAGTTAAGGATTTTACACGGTCCAGAGCTATACCAGTTACCCTCAACTCGTACGCAATTAGGGAAATAAATAGTGCATTTAGCTGAAGAACTAGTTCGGAGCCATGACCCGTTGAAACTGTTCGAACTTGGTTATTTCAATAAAAAAGGGGATCCGAAAGGGGACAGTACGATCAATGGACCGTATTGGTATGGAACCGCTCCACTACCTTCTTTCATTGAAGGGTAGTAAAAGAAATTTGTTTCTGACGAATCTTGTGGGACGTAGCTAACGAAAGAATTGTTGCATCCTGAGCTGACCTACTCAAGATCCCCTAAGTAGTCCACTCTACAGACAGGGTCGTCCTCATCTAACCTACTTATCTTCTTGCATTCAGGTTGAAGAGGCTGCTACTTTGGTGGCCATATTCCGAAATAACAGAGAGCTTGCAAGCAATGTTTCCGAAGATCTGATCGCTCACATCGTCAACCTCATCGAGCACAAGGTTGTGTATTTTTCTTTCTGTTTATCAATATGTCCTGGCGAAAGGGCAGGATTTGTGCGGCGGAGGAGCCGAAAGAGGGTATACCAGGAGCGGGGTGTTGGTCCGACCAGTGAATCTACAAAATTGAGGAGATGAGCCAGACGAAATTCAGCTTACGTAAAAGCCTGATGATTCGATGATTCGCCTTCAAATATTCTTTGAGCCGGAACTGTGGTATCAATAAATTCTTATCTTGAGCTCTAGAGGATTGTAGTACGTTGAAGGCAGGAGCGCTAATCTGCCGTTGCATAGCAAACAGACGTATCTAGAATGAGATCACTTTTTCAGTCTCGCAATGCTGTTTTCTTGGAGCTACTTCAATCGCTGGTCTGTATTTATGACAAGGAAATCGAAACTAGCCAGGATAAGGTGGCCACGGAAGTAAGTTATCGTAAACCTTCCTNTTTCTGCTTCATTTTGGGTAAAATGTGATAGTTAGTATCAGCCGCACGCGGTTGCGCTGCGTCACTTTTCCGAGTGTTCATATTATGCCATCATCTGTCAGAGCATGCACTAGGCATTAACCATGTTTCCGTGGCTGCAAAAACAGCTAACCCTCTAGTGGGTGCGGCGCTTGACACTTAGCCAATGCCCAACAACTATTTTCTCTGCCGCGACGCGACCGCACGCGTCCATTTCCTTCTGGTCGCATTTTTTATGACCATTCCAATTATTTTAGGTTACTTGCACTGTGTACTCGTGGTAAAAATGGCAGCACGGAATTGAAATGTGCATCTGAGATTCCGATGGATCACATCGTACGAGTTGTCACGTCTCCATCATGTCTCGTAGAGGTCTGTGTGTTAAAGAGTTCCCCATGCAGTCTATAGTTATTGACTACTCCTTTTAAGGTGAAAACTGCCTATTTCCAATTCCTTCTTCACTGCTATATCGACACAGATGCTGAGATGAAAGACGCCTATAAGGCGGAGTATGTGGATTCATTACTTCACAACATGCTCTTGGATGTTCAAAAGGTACGAACAACCACGAGGCAACTCGTCCTCAAATCAATCAATATTCCTCTATTGTGATTTCAGCTTCATAGTGAACTCTCGTCGCCCAGTCCATCAACTAATATCGCTGTATTGGAGCAGTACATATGTTTGACGGTTACGGAGATTTTGCTGAAATTCTTCGAAAAACCCTACAGTGAATCAGCTAAGGTGGACATACATGTGAGCTGCACCCTATCCCTTTTGTTCAAGCACACAACTAACCACCTACAATCACGAAGGGTAAGTGATTTGGAAGGGGTTCGTTGGGAAACGAGACAGAATCTCAGCGAAACTAGACTTTCTCGCTTTCCCTCTTCGATCAAACGCAACACCAGTAATTACTCAGACTCTCAGATCTGGGGAAAGTGGCTGGGTTCTTTTCACCGATTGTTCAACTCAACACGATAAATGCACAAGCAAGAAGTTACCTGGACTATGTCAGGAAAAACACCGAAAGCTGATGTCTTACTGAATTCTCTGCACCATTACACGCACGTCATCTAACCCCTTAACCCACACTTACACTGTGAGCACCACTGAGCACCACTGCAAATATAACATTGTCTGCCCTCACTTACACAGTTCTAAAGCTTCAAAACCTTTGTTAAATGTAGATTAAGGAAACATCGGAGCGTCCGCAGGCAATAAGGTCGGTTTTATAACTTTAGGCTCACAAGAAGATGTTCACAGCGATTCTACAGCAATTGAGTATTCTCCATGCTAGCTGTCTGAAAAGGTCACAATCGCCAAAACACTGGTACAGGGTGGATCAATGTATCAAGAGGCTCAGGAAATGGGGTAATTCTTCTCTTTAAAACCTTTATTATTTCTCCGTAGGGCTTTTTCTCTAATTCTGTCCTAATTTGATTTGTAATTTTTTATTTATTCTTTTAAAATTCTCCATATTGATTAGATTATCTATGTCAAGTTTCTGATTTCAAAATTCCTCTTCTTCTCTGTGTGATTAAGCACACCTTATGTGTATTTGAATAAACAATTAGATAAATAAATAAATAAGTGGATAAATGAATAAATATCAGAGCCTGAAATTCAATCGGCCGAACTGTTTAGCTGAGGAGAACAAAATCTCAGTGCCGGCGAGCATCTCGATGCCACCATTCTCGTCTGTTCCGACGGTGAAGCAGCGTTGGCAATGTGCCGCAAATTCGGCTAGGTTCATAAGCCAGGTGAGTCGGACCTATTCGTGACGCAAAATGCAAAATATAGGAATTGATCGGCATCCGCTCGCCGAAGGCCAAGCCTGAATTACATTACATTTTGATCCTTTCCAAGCATGCGTTCCCTTTCGAACTAATATTTGGTCCTTTGACGTCTCTGATAATCACTGATTCAATTAACTTTTGAACTTTCCTTTCCTTCCCCAACCATGACTAATTCCAATCCAAACTTAATGAAAAGTCGGGAAAAATGAGCTTACCGTACACTGAAGGCAGTGGGTCTGTCGGCCGCTCTACTAATGTGAAAGTGAAGATGGCCCGCCTAGAGCGCTCCCCTTCAGTGTCAAGCCCGATCAACTAACTACCTCTTACTAAAATGTTACTGAATTGACTACTAATCATGCATGCCTCTCCAGCATTCTCTATCCATGCGGAATCGTGCCAATTCACTCATGATGCCCGGTTTTCCTAACCCACGACAACAAACCGACAAAGTGGCTAACGTTGTCACATGCTATCACGTGAGTTATCTTAAATCTAAACTTTTGGTATTAATCAATCCCCTTCTAGGATTTCCTCCTGCTTTTGACCTCCCGTTCATCTAATAAGAGCTCCCAATGTTATCAATTCACGGACCACGGTGGTTGAATTTCTGACTTTTCAGATGATGATAGGCGAATTCAAATTTTACTTATTGCCGTTACATTCCGCTGAAGGAAGCGTACTAGTCGACGTGCTACATACGCCAGATCTACTGTTCCCGGTCGGTTCAACGCTACGCGAGAAATGTGCCAAAGGTGCCGTTGTCACCAAGTGGGTCCTTGGAATTCAGCATTAACACATCGATCATAAAAGGGTGACTTTTGAGCTAAATGAACATGAATACGCCTCCTTTCAAAAAGGCGTTTGTCACGGCAATGTGGTCGAAAGGGATCTATGAGAATGCCCACACCTCCCAAGTTAATGATAGCGATAAAGTGAACCCTAAGGAGATCCATTGGAGAGCAACACACTCCATGTTTTTTGTCCCTGAAACTAATTAGCACACACTGAATCAG